AAAGAGGAGGAGGCAATGTTATAGCTAATAAAGCAGGTGGAATAAAAATTGGGTGAGGTGGTATGGGTACACTTTTACCCCAGCCCATTTTCATTTCATATGACATAACATCTTTTCCTGAAAATTGAAAAATATTTTAATTTATGCATAATAATCAAAAATAACCACATACCATTTAAATTTTTTAATGCTCTTTCGCCATCTTTACGACTCATATAAGCTACAAAACCACAATTACGCCCTCTTGCTTTTTCTTCATCAGACCTTGGCCACATTATTTTAATACTTGCCAAAGGACCATATTTTCCAAAAACTTCCATTAACTGAGCTTCAGTAATCTATAAAAAATAAATATTCAATAATAACATTTATTTAGATTAATAATTAAATATATTTTATACATTACTTTAGGGTTAAGGTTTCCTAAGTATAGATTTGTAGTATTTGGATCACCAGAATCAAATGACCCTTTAATTTCATCAGGTTCAACCATTATTAAATCTAAACATACATTTTAAAATATTATTTAATTCTTTAATATATTTAGAATTATTATGTACTACTCTTAATTTCTGGATCTTCAATTGTTTTTTGTAAGACTCCTTTAAATTTATGTCTTTCTTCTCTTTCTTCTTGAATCCTAATAATTAAGAAAAAAAAATGAATTGTTAGTTAAAAATTTAAACGATTATTCAAAAAATGAATACAAAATTATAAGAACGATGTGTTTTATAATTACATTTTTAGTTCCTCTTTGAATAATTCTAGATTACTTTTCTTCTTTTCACCTTCTTTTCTTTTCTTTGTAAGCATTCTTTCACTTTTACGTTCACCCATAAAACGAGAAAGGTCATCTGATTTATCTGAGTCTGTATTTCCCCTGGCTTGAGGCTTGTATAATTTACCTTTTTCTCGAGTATCCTCCTCTAATGTGTGATAAAAGTAATTAGGATCTGTCAATTAAGGTTTTATATATATTAATATTTACGTCTCTTTCCAGCATCATATGTACCAGCTTTAACCCAAACTTTACTATTCTTTTTCCCTTCATTTTGAAAAGTTGCTACAAATTCTTCAAAAGCCTGAAAAATAAAATGATGATAGAATTATTATTATAAAATTGTTTTTAACTGAAAATGTGTGCATCTACCTAAATATTATCATTAAAATAAATAAGGTGTTAATTACTTGAGCAGCAGCATGTTCTTCTTCCTTTTTTTTTTGTTCATTTAATTCTTTTTTTGAAGGTTGAGTTTTTCCCATCGCTCCAATAGAAAATGCTTTGAGCTTTTGTTCAGCTATGTACTATACAAAAATAAAGAGTAGTCTATATTTTTAGTGCTTATCAGGAACCAGGATAGAAATGTATTTATTACATTATATATATATATACATTTTAAATTGTATTAAATTATTGCCAAAATATATTTCTATCTAATTTCTATCCAAGTTTTTAGTTTTAAATTTAAACTGTATATGAAAAAAATTTTCATTAAGATATCGATACTTCTGTTACAAATAATATACTTCATTTAATTCCTCTCTCTTATTATGGTATAGATAGATAAATATAATTAATATACAGTAAACTCAATAATTTGATGTTAGTGTGACTTATGAAAAATGAGTTTCAATTATGAGCGATTTAAAGTATCAAGAGGGTAAAAAACAATTAAAAATACTGAGTTATGAAAAAAATGTTGTATCTATGATAATAATTTGATAGCTATCGAGAAATAATTAGCTACATTTATACACGATTTTACGATAAATTATTAATGACATTATTTTTCTCTAAAATTTACTAAGAATTACCAAATATACCTATATGCATTGTATTTATTTGAATTACTTCGAGATTTCTTAAGGGAACGAGCAACTATTTTAAATTACTGAATAAACTGTACCTACATTTCTAAAAATGCATTATTATTTATACTTTGTATATTTTTAATCTTTAATTTTAGACATGAAGACTTAAGATTATAATACATATTCAACAAAAACATATTTTAGTTAAATACAAAATTAAGTCTTAAACAAAATTAGTTGCAATATATTTATGATCTATGTATTAGTTTAATATAATTATTATTAAACACATTCGCTTTACTTGTGATGAATCCTCATTGGCAAAACAAGGCCGAAACCATTAAGTTAAAAGCCTATTTCAATTATATATTGATTACTTTGAAGAAAACAAGTATCAATTAATTCAAAAATGTATTTTACATATAACGTATAGAGTATACTGAAGATTATAATACTATAATAGATAGTTACTTATGTCCGAAGTCATAAGATATAACATAATATTGTGAAATAAATTTTAGTTTAATAGAACAGGAATAGAACAGGTCTATGGAAGGATATCCATTAAAATTTCAGGGGAGCTAACATGATTAACAAGAATGTGAGCGAAGGGTTTACATATTTTAATATTAGGTATATAAAGGTACCAACTTTTTTAAAATTTTTTTTGTAATATTACATTGTTTTTTATTTTATATGTAGTTTATATTATGCAATCACTGTTATTATTATCCAATTGATATTTTAATTAAATTTTGTTTTTTAATTATTTTAAATATGTATCTATATTACACAAAACTAGCATCATTAGAGAATAAAGATTATATCTTACCTTTTTAAATTGTCCCGAATCAGCCATGATTAAATTATTAAAATATACCTAGCGTAAATAAAACTTAACTTCCTAAGTAAATATTTTAAAATTTAAACTAGTAATAAAATAAAATTGAAATAAAAAACATAAGAATTTACAAAGAATTTAGATCATAACTCATAAATTATTTTACTATCTATATAATACGCATTTTGTAAATTTTTAATCTTGAAACTACAGTAATACTAGTGGACATCATCAATTCTAAATCATATATCTTTAGTATAAGCAACTGTTATTACTATTTCTACATTATGGCCAGTTTATAAACATATGTAAATCGTAAARWTAAATTTGTTTAAATCAATTAATAATTATAAATTTAATTATTAAATAACAAATTCAGATTAACAAGATGAAATCAACGAAATGCACCAAAGACCAGACATCATAAATATAATGTTTTAATGTTTATATTTTATTATTACTATTATATTATATTATTTAGTTATTAGTTTATTACTAATATTATTATCTCATAGTATCAACTATCAAAGTTCATAGATATGTAATATGTTGCCTTGCGATTCCCATGAATTTGTATTTATTAATTCCAATCTGATTTTACAATATTCAGTATTTCTGTTGTAAACAAACTGGGTTTGCGTTTGATTTTGTGAGGTAGGTTGCAACCACTGAACTCTATACGTATAGAGTTCAGTGGTTGCAACCATGAAAATTAGAGATAAGGAGACCAAACTCCGTATACAAAATATGGCGCGACAAAAGTCGCACGGTTATTCTGCCACCAGGAGCGCGTCGTTCGATTAGAGGGCTATGGCCTATGTTTTACCTTTTGGCTTTTACCATGTATTTTACTATAAAATAAAAATGTACGTTTTTTTGTATTTTAATGAAATATAAAATATCATTCATTACTTATTACCTGCTTATATTAAAGTATACTATTAAAATCCTTGTATTTAAATAACCAATGACTACTCACAAATATAATCATTATTATTCTTACTTGAAAAAAGTAAGTAGTGAATAACTTTCTAACAAGAACTACATTTTAAACAATTAYAATCTATATAGTTTAGGATAAAAGCATATTAATTAACATTTATTGAATAACATTTAAAGAAAAAGCTATTAGGCCATATTAAATATTGAAATGAATTATAATTCCGATAAACTATAAATTATAATATGTAAATAGTCACAATCAAATGCTTTATATAATACTATATTATACTACATAGTATATACTATATACCCAATTATTTGAACCGTAAATCCAGAGTCGGAATTTACGTTATCACATAATTTATAATAGCACTTTGTTCACAGTTCGTATAGTCAACATTTAAAAAAAAAAACACTAGATGGAACTGCCCCTGCTTTTAATATGGGTCTAATTTCTTAATTTTATTGACTGTTCCATCATTTAAGATAGTCTCGTCAAAAAGTAGAATATCATTCTCTTCGAAATGCAATTCACAWATATAGCAYTTTTCYGTAAGCATTTTGTCTCTTCTAGGTATAGCTCTATGCCATCTTGCTAAAAGCTCTGTGTTCTAAATAACATATTATGTAACAAATAATTAAATAGGAAAATTATTATTCATAAATAATGTTAAGATATTTTGTTTTTTTTTTTTTTACTTTGAGTGCTTTAAATAAACTTTTATTTTTTAATCCAATTGATTTTTGTTGTTTAACATCTAAAGCATAACCAGTATTACACCCTAGTACAAAACAGCACTTAACCATTTTTAATGTTTAGGTAAAAAAAATAAAAATAAAAATTACTCTGGTTTTATGTATAATTATTGTATTTAAAATTTAAATAATCAAACAAATACAAAATAATAATAAAAATTATTTGAAACCTTATCATTGTATACATTGTCTATTTATAAATTTAATATTTTGATGAATTCAATAATAATCATATGGAAATCATCCATGTCCATGTGTTTAATAGATAATTATAATAAATAATAATATATTTGTTTTTTATTATTGAACCAATTTTAACCAATATCCCCCTAATTCTATATACATGTTTTAGATCTGATCTAAATYATAAAGTAATAAATTATTTGCAAGGAATAATAAATCATGTTTAATTCGAAAAACATACATAATTCCTATTATAGTATATTACTATTATTACTACATGCTATAAAGCTATAATTGTAAAATGTAGCCCTCTAATCGAACGACGCGCTCCTGGTGGCAGAATAACCGTGCGACTTTTGTCGGGCCACTTTATAAACTGGCGGCTCATAGGAGTTTGCCGAGTTTGGTGGTTTGGTCTCCTTATCTCTAATTTTCATGGTTGCAACTTTGCAAGACGGATCTAGAAAGCCTGCGTTTACATAGTAGTTACATGTTATCCACGAATTAAAATAATATACTGGAAAGTGGATACCACGATTATCATGCGTTATCATACAAATTCGGTGTAATAGAACGTCGTAACTTTGAATGTTCGAGGCAAACAAATTAGTGAATGCAACCCGACCAGCTTCATATCGTATTGATATAATATTCGGCTTTATAACCTCAAAAATATATAACTTAAATGATTGGTTGTTTTTGTTAATTATTTATATTGTTGTTTGTTTATTAATCTGAAGAGTCGTTGAACGTTGAATACTGGATTCAGTATTCAGTGGATTCTGAATTTTTGAGCTTTTGACAGTTACAGCTAATAAATTATGGCTAGAGCGTTGAATAATTAACTTTTTTTAAATTTTAATATAAAATACACTGTAAATGTATATATTATCGTTAACACATTATTGAATTACTGATTACTAGATAGTTTGATTAATAATAAATACAAAAATCATTTTAGTTATTTAATTAGAAAATATTTTTAAATAGGTAACATAATCAATTTATAACCATTTTTAACGATAATAATTTCTATAATTCAATAAGTTATTAAGTAATTATATAAGGTTTTTTACACCAACCGAGTAAAATATGATTGGCGAGTCAAGATCAGAGTTTAGACTTAAAAACCCACCAGAAGACGGAATATCATCTGTAAAGTTTGGACCTAGTTCATCTCAGTTTTTGTTGGTATCGTCTTGGGACTGTTCAGTTCGGCTTTATGATGTCCAAGCAAACAGCATGCGTACTAAGTATACACATGATCGCCCAGTATTGGATGTTAGCTTTCAGGTATGATTACTAAATTAAATAATATTACTTCTTAAATTGATTACTTATCTTATATTCATTTTAATGGTAAAAATTATGTTATGCAACTATTTAAAATTTGTATCAAATAAAAAAGTTTAATTCCTGATTATAATATTTGTTAAGTATTTTATATGCTTATATATTGTGTATATTTGATTTATAATAGGATGCAGTTCATTCATTCAGTGGGGGTCTAGATAACAAGTTGAAAATGTATGATTTGAATAGTAATTCGGGTAAGTATTTATTTTTAATGAAAGAACATATTAAAGTAAATTTAAGTAATTGATATATAACTTTAACTAATATTAAATTTCAGAAAGTGTCCTTGGCTCACATGATAATGCGGTACGCTGTGTTGAGTTTTCTAATGAAGTAAATGTAGTTTTATCTGGTGGCTGGGATGGCAATGTTAAAATGTGGGACACAAGATCATCTCAATGTGTTGGAACCCTCCCTCAACCTGATAAAGTATGTGATGCATATTATAATTTTAATTTGTAATTATCATTTAACATTTTATTTATAGTTACCAATTATAATTTTTTATATAGGTTTTCACTATGAGCAATGTAGGTGAAAAACTTGTAGTTGGCACTGCTGGACGTAAAGTATTTGTTTGGGACTTAAGAAACACAGCATATATAATGCAAAGGAGAGAATCAAACTTAAAGTTTCAAACGAGGTGTATACGTTGCTCACCTAATAAACAAGGTTATGTATTAAGTAGTATCGAGGGACGTGTAGCTGTTGAATATTTTGATACAGCTCCGGAAATTCAGAAGAAAAAATATGCATTTAAGTGTCACAGAATTAAAGATAATGATATTGAATGCATTTACCCGGTCAATGCTATAAGGTAATATGTTTATATACTTATCAAATTATTATTTTTTTAAATACTAACTTTTCATTAAAACTATTAACAAAATGCTATAGTTAAATAATAATTTACCTAAATACAACATTATTACTAAGTTAGTATTGATTTTTATTTAGAACTTCTCAGAATTATATAATTTTCACTTTAAGTTGAATTGGATACAGTCACAAATAAGTCTATAGAATTAAAGTAACTAGAAATACTAGAATATTTTACACATTGTTAATAAATGGTTTGATGTGTGTTCTAGCAATTTCAACAAATGTTTATTACTTTTTTTAGTAAACATAAAATTATACTGTTATTTCTTCAAATTTAATTGCATTTAATAATATATTTTAATATCAGTGTAGGTATTATAAACATTTGATTTATGTACAAAAAATAAAACAATTTAGTTTGATTTTCCAATAAATAATACAAAAGTGCCAGAGTAAGAAAAGAAAGATAATTTTATTGTGTTCTATTTGTATTTTTTTCTTTCTAATATTTATGATTTTAATATGTTATTAGTTTTCATCAAGTATTTAATACGTTTGCAACGGGTGGTTCAGATGGATATGTAAATATTTGGGATGGATTTAATAAAAAAAGATTGTGCCAATTCCATCGTTACAATACAGGAATTACATCTCTTTGCTTTAGTCATGATGGTGAGTAAAAGTCTGTTTATGTATTTTTTTTTATGACTTCAATATTCTAAGTCTAACATAAGAASTTTATTTTTTTTAATAATCCTTTTATTCTTTAAATTGTGGTGTTGTATAAAAATTAAATTATTATTATTATTTTAAAATGATTTAATTTGAATTTTTTATTTATTATTGTTCAGTAATAACTAGGGAATGGACTTAAATATTTAAAAATGTCTTAAAAAATACGACCAAATGCTTTAAAAATTGVACTATAAAACTTAAAAAATTATATTAAATTCGATAAAAACACAATTTTGAACAGTTTTATATATGTATAATATTCTTATAACTGAAAACTTATAAAAATTGTACCTACATACACACTTAATCGACTATGGTCAGGTAGCTTTATTTTCGGCATTTTTCATGGCACTATTTGAATTTAGTGAACACCAACATTTATCCAACGACTCAACGAGTACCTACTTATAATTGGATACCAATTACTTTTATATCGCGTAGCGTAACATTATCGAGATTATTTGATGGGAATTACAGATGGGAATACAGTCGTATAGATGGATACAATCAGCTGGTCTTTGTAAAAACAACTAATTTTCAAGACAAAACGAAACATTTAAGCAATTTACATATTGAATTAATTTATATTTTTAACTTTTATTTCTAAGCAACAGATATGTATAAAGAATGACCTAAAAATGAGAAAATGCCAAAAAATGCTTTAAAAATCAAAAAGTTAAAATATGCGAAATAAAAGTTTCATTTTTAAATTCTTTGATGTATGAATCGAATTATATTATTGGAAAGCATTGTCCTATGCTACCCACTAAAAAATGTATTATGCATCAAAGTCCATTGCCTAATAATAACTAACTAATAATAAYTTAATATAGTTTAAAAAAATAATTATAAATTTTTATTTAAGGTTCATCATTGGCTATTGGCAGTTCCTACATGTATGAACAAGACGTACATCCAGATCCAATACCTGAAAATAATGTTTATATTAGATATGTTACTGATCAAGAAACTAAACCAAAATAAACATTATTTCATAAATACCTAATTATTATAACACTTGTGAATTTGTTAATTTATTTGAATTAATTTACCAATTTTTTTTCTTTCAATGTCTGATATATATATTAGATATTTGTATATTCAAAATTAATTTTAAAGTTTATCAGTAACAAATTGAAGATATTATAACATTTTTTAAAAAAGAACTAAAATTACCAATTTCCATTCAATCTTCATTGTTTACATGTTTAAACTAAAAATATTATTAGTAGAATAGTAAATTTAAATTGATTCTAGCAAATATTAAATGTACAATGTATATTGTTTTACCCTTGTGTATATTGATGATGTTTTTTTGTCTATAAATTATTGACTCAAAAATATAAGCGTAGTGTTTGAGATTTGGGGGGAAGGCTGAAACCCAAATTTAATAATATTGAATAAGCTTAATATAATATTTGGGGTGCTTAGCCCCTAAAGCCCCCCAATTTGCTGCTATGCCATGCCCAAAAAACAACTGAAATGTTTTCAGTAATAGTTATATCAATAGATTCCTTGAAATTAGAAGGATGTTAGTTTTAAACCTTTTTTTCAATCTAACATGAATTTTTTCCAGTTCATGTAAAAAACATTTGTGGTTGGTTTATATTTTATAAGTGGCTGTCATTGGTTACATATTATATTACTATTATATTATGTAGTAGGTATTCAGGGTGATTGATTTATCAAACAACACTCATTATTTATAAAAGAATTGACTTTTTTCAAAATATTTTTTTACATAGTTTCAAGTTATTAAAAAATTGTATTTTTAAATACTTTTTATCCTTATTAATTTTTAAGCTTTTTACTTTTTGAATGACAACATAGTTTTAATTTCATATTCCAAAGCAGAATATTTTTTTAAGTATTTTGATTCATAAATATAAAATTTAGGATGAGTAGTTTATGAGTTATACGTATTTAAAGTTTAGATTGGCTAAATGTTTGTCCACTACTCCGTTTGTCTAAACTTTAAATACTTATAACTCATAAACTACTAGTCCAAAATTCGATGTTTACGTATCAAAATACTTAGAAGAATACTCTGCTTTGGAATATGAAATTAAAACTATGTTGTCATTCTAAAAAGTAAAAAACTTAAAAAATTATAAGGATAAAAAATATTTTGAAAAAAGTCAATACTTTTTTTTAATAATGAGTGTTTGATAAAAGAATCACTGTATAATATTTGCACATTAAAAAAAATCAAATCTTTGACACGGGTAATGCCGGACATTACAAATGCTATTATTTAATTTTTCTTATGATTTGTTAAAAACACATTAGTATATTACATTAGGAAATGTTAATTTTTTTATTAAATATATTTAATTTTAAGTTGTTATTCAATTTATACTAGTGTTTGCTACATTTCTCTGAATCAGTTATATTTCAGTATTTAAACTAATTGCTTTAAATACATAAGAAGGAAAAACTCTGATATTGGTTAAATACTAAATAGTGATGAAACATAACTGTGGAAAACTATTTTAAATGTTATCTATTATTAATTCTTGCCATCTTAAAATTATAATGATATTCTGCAAAGAAAAGAAAGAATTGAGAATACATACAGTTTGATGTTCATATTTTTTGGATCAATCATTAAGTTACATTTCAAATTATTTAGATATTCTATAATCTATTATGTTATAATTTTATTAAGATTAATTTTTAATATGTTGTTCTATATAGGTTTGGAATGGTTTGATTGCTTAAGCTCAAAATGAATCTAAAACTTTTAAAATAAGTAGTAAAAGCTAAAAAATWGTGAAAATAATAGTCTTTAAATTATAAAACTTAATACCAACGGTGATATGCAGTTAAACTCAATTAAATACTAGATGGAAGTATGTATGTAAATAGCAGTCAACGCTGTGGTGTATAAAGAAATTAAAAATTTTGGGAGGGGTAACAAAAAAAATTAATTTTCAACATTCCCTCTTAAATTCTAATTAGTTACATTCGAACGAGCAGTAAATTTCGGAAGAGGGTAACCCCCTCCCCACTAAATACGCCACTTATTCAACATAACTTATTAAATATATTTGTAGTATATTATATATTGTATAGCTTAGAAATATATAAAATTAAACAAAGACAAACACAGGTACAACTATTTAAAATAATTGTAATTAATTTTTACACTCTAAATCAATACAAATAATAAAATAAGAATAATTAAACGCAAGACACGCATAAATAAAAAATTTTAAAATGAAAAATATTGATTTATAAAATTTATTTTACTAATTTATAATCATAAATCATATATTGTATAAAAAACAAAAACCATTCAATTAATTTTATAATATAGCCAAACATATTATTTTAAGATTGTAAATGTTAAATAAATACATTTAAAAAAATTAAATGTATTTCATTTAATAGTACCAAGTATTATCAATATTAAAAATAACTTTAAATAAATTATGATTTTTAATTTAAACAAACAGATACAATAAAAAAAAAGTTGTACATACAAAAAGTAAAAGATACAATACTGAATTAAACAGATCAAAAAAATAATTTACAAATCTAATTTTGGCCTGTACTGAAGTTTTAATGGAGGTTCTCTGAATCGCCATCTTGTTACATATACAAATTTAAGAGTGTGATCTTTTCCCAATAATTCATCATTACACAAGATGTCAATCTAAAAAGAAAACAAATCAAATATATACCAAAAATATATTTGAAATAGAGTAGTGTTACTAACATCTCTGTATTTATCTGATCCATCAAGTACTTTCACAGCGATAAACTTTTTAAGATGTGTAATAGTGGCCTGAGATGACACTCTTAGGAACTTTTTCTTTAATGATTTCAAGTGTGATGCAACACATTCCAATCCAATATTTACCTTCACAATGTAATTATAGTTCATAAAATAATATGAAGAACTTTTTATAATAGGTAAACATATTCTAGAAAACAATGTTACTTGTTCATCTGTTCTATGGTAGTCAGAATCTGCTGCTGCTTGATCTTGTGCTGTCTTATCATCATCAATTTCAGTACCAGCCGGTACTTCTTTTGGATATGGAAGGCCTCTGATTCTATAGAACTCTCTTTCACGCTTTATTTCATCTAATACAGAATTAAAATGTTTTAAACTTGTATTTATAATTTTTTTAGGTTATTTATATTTATATGTACCTAACTGAAGTCCTGGTACTAATTTAAATACAATATCCTGCATTGTACGATCAAAACTTATATACTGCAATGGATGAGACTGATGTATAACAATTTGACAAGTAGGACAACTGTTGTTCTCTTCTAAATGTTTCACAAGACAGCTTTTGCAAACTAGAAAAAAAAATAATAATATTGATCTTAAAAATAAAAATGTTCAAATATCAAATTTAGATACAAACATGTATGTAAACATTCTGTTACTGTTGTGGCATCCACTAAATATCCTCTACATATTTTACAAGTAATATGACAATTCAATGTTTTTAATTTTATCAGTTTTTCCATTATTTTTCACAATTCACAAATACAAAAATCGTTAAACAACAAATTTCAAGTGGGATATAAAGACCATTAAACGTAACTAATAAATATTATAGTATTATAATTAATAATTATTAATATTATTGAATTATTCAGAGTTGTTACTTTTAAGAGATAAACAGAGTAGAGTAGACTAATTGAGTATTTCGGTATACTAATACTGTACGTATGAAACTATGAAGTCTGTGCAGTGTGTACTTACAAATATTTGGCTTATTATCTCATTGTACTGTGTTATCTTTTATCGAGTCAGTGAACCACGATTAAAGACTTATAAGTATATAAGTACATCTTTAATCGTGCAGTGAAATAAAAATAGTGTTGCCAACTGTTATTATTAAAAGAAACTAATTTTACTGATAGTGAGTTCTAAAAATTAGTGATCTTATCACAGATATATAATAACATATATATATATATATATATCTGTGGATCTTATTTTTTCATTACAGCGATGATTATAATATTGTGAATCTGTGATTTTACTGTCAATATTAATTGATAATGAATTCTAGTGTTTTTTTTTCATGTATGCTGTGTTATATGTTATATTCTTATATTGTTTAAAAAGAAATTTAAACTTTTAAAGTATGAAATAAAATGTTTGAAAATACCTGTCTAGTAAATTGAATGTATAAAACAATTTAGATTATGTGATATTTGTGACTACATGAAATGTATATGACAAGGAAATATGTGATTAAAAATTATTATTGATCTGAATCAATTTAAAGGTAAATTTACAAATATTTTAAAATAATGTTCCAATTTGTTTAAATAGTTTATATTATATTTATTCACATTTACCAATACTATTCTTTTAAATTCAATTCACGTCATGTTTATATTAATCAATGAAAATTCAATTTTAACTAATTCATTTTCTAGTTCTGATTTTACCTAACGCATTAAATCGTTTTACTTGGAATTTATTTTCTACAGCATTATTTTGATAAAATCTCATTTATATCTAATCGCTTACAAGTTAATGAATAAAATAAAGTTACATTAATATAAAGTAAATCAATAAGTCACAAAACATTATAAAAAGTTTGTTTCAAAGTACAGACTCGTTTGAACTTTTCAATAAGACAATAACTAAACTTGAATCTAATTCGCTCCCTGAAAGTCACTCTTGTTCTCCGATGAAAATGGTGTCTGGATCTGTTGGACAGTTAAATTGGTAAATTTACCAATTATAATTAGGTAACTAGAAAATAATAAAATAATGTTCGATTCTACGGATTACTCTCCTCACTTGACTTGTCATAGTATTGTTTTATGTATATAATTTTATTTAAACGCTTAATGTGTCTCAAAGTATAGATACTAATATTCTTTTATAATAATAAAAAAAAGAACATTTGAATAAATCAATCATTATTGAGCTAATGTTTGCTTTACCATKATATTATAGTGTCCTATAATCGGCTTATTACAAACATTACATTTTAGCGAATCATTGAATTCATTAATTTCACT